GTGCTGGTGAGGGCTAGAGAGGGGATCCTCTGTGTCAGTGCAGGCTGTTTGCGGTCTAGCAGCTGTCTGCTTACCGCAGGCTCTGTGTATTGCATGCAGCAGCTTGTCAGCTTACGGCTGACACCCTTCATCTTTCTACCCCTTACCGAGAAGTCCTGCCCTGCACTCCAAGCCCTCCTGAGAGCCGGGGTGTGCTTTGGCACCAGCCGTGCCCCAGCAGCTGAGCCCACCACCTCATGGCCGAGGTGTGTGTGGAGCATCTCCGTGCCTCCCCGCTGAGCCTTCCTCCTTCGAGGGGGTTCTTGGCTTGTTTGTTTGTTTTGGCCCCATTCTGTGTCCTCCTGCTTACCATCACCCTCTGGACTTATTTGGTAACACAGTCATTGGCCTGTATTTATTGCCTGCCTTCTGTGTTTTCATCATGCCTTAATTGTGGGATGTAGTCCCACACAACTGAATTTGTTTTGAATTTTTAGTTGTTTGGGTTTTTTAAATCTATTAATCAGGCCTCTCTGACAAAGAGGCCTGTGAGAGTTTTTGGCATAGTTGTGAAATACTGCAACTGTGAGAGAGAATTCATACCCTGGCTTTTTTTTTTGGCACTTGGCTTTAAGGACTGCAGTCTCCTTGCTCTAATGTGAATTCCAGAAGATAAAGGATTTATATTTCCTTTTTTAAGTCTCTTGAAGCCTACACACCTTTTAAAGATTTTCATGAATGTGTGGCGTACGTTTTGGTAGAAATAATTAAGGGCCAGGGGGGGTGTGCTCAAATGCATTATTGCTTCTGTATGCCCTGGGAGCTCCTGGTTGGGCTGGCTGGCTGCCACAAGCCCTGGCTGGCTGCCCAGCCAGCCCTCACATCGGCCTGGTTTCCAGCATAAATGGTGTCCAAATCAACACATTCCCGTGGAGTGTTTTAGATTCCAGCAAAGCAACATTTTCCTATGGAAAAGCCTTCCCTCAGAAAAATCTCTGCTAGCCCTCGGTCAGGCCAGTTCCCGTGCCCGGGGCCCTGCGGCATGACAAAGTTTCCTGCCGGTTGCGTCACCAGAGGAAAAACAGTTCATAGCTTGCCTTGAGTGGAAATCGAGTCCCTCTTGTCATTAAAAATTGACAGCAAATCCCCGGGAAAGGTTGGTTTTGAGCAGGGGTGGCTCCTAGTTCCAAGGATCTCATTTCGCACGAGCGGATGCCCATGGGTTAAATGCTGTTGGTCGTTAGCTCTCTCAGCTGCTGGTTTTCAGCAGGCGTGTGAGCTCATCTGCTCCCTGGGGTGGCAATGACCATGCTGCAGGGAGAGGTGGGTCCTGCACTGGGCAGACATGAACTTGCACCCCCAGGTCCTGTTTTATGTATTTGCTACAAATACTATTGCAGCCTGGATATCCCTTTGGCTGACGGTATGCTGGAAACGATAGTATTTTCTGCAGATCAAACCGATGGTCCTTGGCGAGTAACTGTTGGTGTTTCACGTGTCGTCATATCCATAAACTATACTAATTCATGTTCTGTCAAGATGTTCATTTGAAATCTCAGCTCTTTATGAATCGATCCAAGTCCATCTCCTCGCTGCAAGTGCCCTGTGCTCATCTGCTGCTGGGAGTTAAGTCAGTCCAAACCTGTGTGTGACAAAAATGTATTAGGCCACAAGTTTCTTCACACTGATACAAGAGTTCAAACTAGTTACTGCTTTTCTTCTAGTAGCTCTGTGAGGATTTATTAGAAATTAAATAGTACTTTAGTTAGTTTGTTTAGTTGATAAGTTTGGGAAAATCTCTGCCATCAATAATGCTAATTGCATAAATATTAATCTTATAGCGTGTATTGATTACAAAAGAAAATTCTAAAACCAGATTTTGTATTTTTTGTGTTGCCTAAATACAGAATATGCTGTTACTTCTGTAGGAGAACCAGCCACTCTTCTACAGTAGCTTACAGACTGAACTGAAGAAACAATTTGTTTGAAAAAACGCCTGGGATGGACCAAATTTTTTTTTTCTTACAGATGGTCTTTAGAAGAATGAACTAATTCAAATGGTTTCTTAATCTGGAAAAGGGAGGAAGCAGCTTTTGAACACTTTAAAGTGAGAGATAGTTTAATTCTGTCATTTCTCAACTTGAAATATGTTTTAATAACTAATACCATCTGAGACTTCATGTGCAAAAGTTTGGGAAGAGAAAGAGAATTTATCCAACACGGATCATGCATAGCTAAACTTCAGCAAAGCCCTGCAAACACAGAAGTTTGTTGTTTGAAAGGCTTGACCGGTCGCTGCGGTACATTATTTACATTATTTACATGGTTGAATTCTTTAGCTTCCTTCCATGGGAAGGCACAGTTAATTTTCTCAGTTCATGTGGGTTTGTGCTGAATCAGATGGAGTTTTTTATGAGAGCCTTGGGCCTTTTTTCAAGTTGGAAAATAGGATAAATCACTGTGGCTTTGTTTCTCTAGTGGAGACATTTTGTCTATTCAACTATATATGATTTTCCCTCTCCTTTCTTTAACCCTCTTCCACCCATGTACAGGCACACAGCAGCCTGGGAGTGAGTTCTTTCTGTGGCTTCATTTCAGAATTTCACCATTTTTTTTGTGGGCTTTTGAGAGGCATTTACTTGCCATACTATGATTTCTGTGGCAAATTTGTGCAGTATGAAGACTACGCTACGGCTTTCCACTTGTAGCTTGATGGGTCCTGTCCCAGAGATTATCGTGGATTCTGAAGCGCTGTAAAACTGTGAGGCTGTGCTACAGGGGTGTGAATGCCTTCAACAGCTCTTGACCTTCATGTGAGTTGAGGAGCTACACTTGAAGAGCTGGTGCTTGCTATAAGGAATGCAAACAATTGGTTACATTAAGCCCCATGAAGTGAGCGTGCGCATTCAGATGAGTGCATGACCCAGCGCACTCCAGCACTTATGAATGTAGACATACTTAACTTCTTTTTGGTCATTTCGGTCTCTCAGTCTCTCAGCTCCCCTTTTTGCTCAGGAGTATCGAAGGCTTTTATTACTCATGTAATTGCTTTGGATCCTTTTACAGTCTGTATTTTAACACAGTGAAGTTTTTATACGCTAGTACGAGTCTCTGCAGAATAATGGTGAACACAGTGTGTTTTTTATATATGGCATTTTATCAGAACGTTGCTAATGCTGTCGATGTAATACACAACATCTGTTTTCCATTTCGCTGCATTTTGTGTAGCAGTAGTCAGCTCAGGAGGAGACAAAAGTAACTTTGAGCAGAAATGGCATGTGGGGCTTGGTTCACATTTCGCATCTGAAGCGAAAGATGGATTACCTTAAAAAGGCAGAGTGCCATACAGTAATCTTACCGAAGGACATTTAGTCCCTTGCTTTTAATTTATACTCGAATTTGGGCATAGGGCAATTTCTTACATGCTGATAGCATAGTTTCATGATGCTCATTTCAGTAAAAGCTTAGTGTATTAAAATACCTATCACAGAATGGTAGGGGTTGGAAGGGACCTCTGTGGGTCATCCAGTCCAACCCCCCTGCCAAAGCAGGGTCACCTAGAGCAGGCTGCACAGGACCTTGCACAGGCGGGCTTTGAATATCTCCAGAGGAGGAGGCTCCACAACCTCCCTGGGCAGCCTGTTCCAGTGCTCCGTCACCCTCAGAGGGAAGAAGTTCTTCCTCATGTTCAGACAGAACTTCCTATACTTCAGTTTGTGCCCCTTGTCCTGTCATTGGGCACCACTGAAAAGAGCTTGGCCCCATCCTCCTAACACCCACCCTTGAGATATTATAAGCATTTAAAAGGTCCTCTCTCAGCCTTCTCTTTTTCAGGCTAAGCAAGCCCAGCTCCCTCAGCCTTCCCTCATGGGAGAGGAGATTGTCTTGAAGCTTTAGGGGACTGTTCCGTGACTACAGGAACGACCCCCTGGCAGTCCGTCTCTTCCACCTGCCTTGACAAGGCTGCAACAAATCTTTTTCGTGTCTTCAGTTGTTTCCCCTAGGAACTGTGCTTGTAAAATACCTGCTGCGCCCGAGCCCTAGGATGCCCTCAGTGACTCCTGCGAGGTGGTGCCTCTCCTCTCGAGGACTCCCCATGCAGCAGCAGCGGCGGCAGCGGCGGCTGTCGCTTAGGGCCCCATGGCCTGCGCTTTTCCCTGGGGAGGGGCAGCC